TTCCACTTCCAAGAACAAACCTTTGAAGCAGTTTGTTGGGGCTATACTCGAAGAAGCCACTGCCATTTCAGTCCCATAGCGGCGGAGGGTCGTTTTTAGCAGAGAAGAAAAAGGGGTTGGTGGTCTCCGCAGTAAATAATACACGACGTGGGGGTGTGTCAGATATATTAGCCAAACAACGTCATTTTCATAGGCACATTAAAACGGGTCGGGAGTTGGGGGTTTTTACATCATGGAGTTAAAAGAGGGCAATTGCACTAAATGAATGAACAGTGTGGGCACATTCCACGGCAGCAGCAATATGCAAGTGAACACAAGTGGCCAAAAAGTAGCGCGTGAACAACGTGGACAAAACGGTTTGCAGTGTTAAGCATTATAACAGATGAAGAGCAGATATTACAAAAATTGTCTTCGGGTGTAGTATTACGTGCGCCTGGCAAGGCCCATTGAGTTATTACCGGATGTGGACAGGGGAAGGAGGGGCAGTTTGGAAGAGAGAGGGAGGGCGGCGAAAAATATTTGTCGGAACACCCCTAAATGGGGTCATGAACAAAGAGGGGGAAGTCGTTTGGAACCTCGATAAGAGGCACGTGTTGAGGCAGAATTTCATCAAAAACGTTGGCTCTACAGTCACACATGTGGAGTTCCTTGAGTTTGACTTCCCAGTCTAACTTCTGAACCATCATTAGCGATTCAGCTTCGTGCAGCTGGCGGCAGAGCAGTCTTCGCTAAAAGGAAGAAAGAGAGAAAGTTGATTGGAGGATTTAAAGTAGAAGAGTCACTGGGATATCGCCAACCTCTGAAACCACTACGACCCATAATAATAAAAGGTGAATGACTACCTTACTGGTGGAAGAATTTATCACATCATCCAAAGCTGCCTTTTCTAACCACCGCTGTGAAGAAGCCATCCCCCCCCCACGTGACGTATCTTTGGGCTTGACGTTAAAAGAGTCGTGGTCCGGAGTGCAGATAGGACTCTGTCAAATTAACAAAGATGACCAGGTACGAGCGAAAAGGCAAATCGTAGGAAGTAATTGAACAGAAGTGGACACCAAGGTTACTTCTACATCAGTAATTTTCAGTTTCGGAGTATGGATGTGTGCTTTTGTTGCAAAGCAGATATTAAAAGGGTGCTGCGCCAACTGCCAAACTTTGCCTAACGGGCAGCGACCGTAGAATGACGCCAAAAGTAATGGAACCAGTTGCATCCACACCAAAATGTTACACTAGGTACCATGGGACCGACAATCTCAACCGAATGCGTCATGTTCGGAATGATAACACTGTGTTGCGGGTTTTAACTGTTAAGGGCAGGGCGAACGACCCGCTATCACGCTGTCCGGATTACTCGTCCCACGGTGCACTATTGATCGGTGCAAGCAACGCGAGTTGTGAGGTCGATCAAGCAGTCGGCCGTGATTAGTGTTCCACTTTATCACTCTGTTCAGCCCGAAAGCCTCTCTCTCTCTCTCTCTCTCTCTCTCTCTCTCTCTCTCTCTCTCTCTC